GCAACTTAGATATTGCTGAGAATCTCTTGTCCATCAAACCCAGTATGATTCTTGCTTATAAAGCACAAATATACTTTACAAGATCTGCAGAGGCCTCACTGTGAAGCAGGAAAACTCAAAGAAGGAAGTGATGCTGTTTAGATTCAAAGTTTCTACCTTTATTTTGAAGTAGGATTTTTAGAGTTTTCTTTAGGAAAACTGTATTCCTGAACAAAGCTTGTCTGGAGACCTCCCTGTTGGTGGCCACAGAAGCTTTTTGGAAGAATTTATTTAAAATATACCAAATATAATGAAAAAATCTGAAAAGAAATTGCACTTTGGGTAGAGCCTTCCTCTTTAATGGCACTCCTTAGAACCAGAAAATGTCAGAAACTCAGAACAAGACTGAGAAATGGGCTTTTTAGTTGTATGTTGCCTCCTCCCTATCCCTGTTGCTTGTGGACACCCTCAGGCTCCACTAGCAGCACCCCTGCAGTAAATGTCTTAGTTCTTGTTGCTGGACCCTGTTGTCCTATGTGCCAGAGCTCTCAGTACTGCTGTCCCAACAGTGGAGCAGGAGTGTGCTGGGGTTCCTTTGTGGTCCTAGGCACCACCCCTCGGGTTTGGACCTTTCCTCTCTTTCTTTCCTTATACTCCATTGACTATATTGTTCTGGTGACACCCAGATCATTGCAGGTATTTCTGTGTGTGGCTAAAATTGGTTTTGTGAGCAGCGCCAGTGGAGAGGAGTGAGACAGCTGAGGGTGGCCAGGGCAGGGACTGCAGAAGCCAGAGTGCTGAGTTCAGGTGAGCCATACCTCTTTGGGGCTCTCTTGCTGCAGCTGATCCATGTGCTACAGCTTTGTCCTTAGAGCAGTGGCATGGGAACCACGGGGACACCCTGCTCTCTGCGCTGGAGAGCATCCCTGGCTTTCCCCTTCTCTCTGTCTTGGCCATTCCAATGCCAGTGTGCAGTTGCAGTGGGAGGAGAGCTAACAGCGTGCTGCAGCTGGGGACTGACCCCTCGGGAGCGCTTGGCAATTACAGCCCTGCCCTGAGACAAGGCAGTCTGGATCCTGCCACCAGCCCTGCAGGACCTGGGGGGTTGCAATGCTGCAGCCACAGATGTGGCTCGCACAGGGGTGCCGCAGCTACTGCTTGACAGAGCCGTGGAGGTTTGGCAGAGGAGTCTGTGCTGCTCCTAAGGCTGGGAGGGATACAGGTGGCGTGATAGATGGTCCGTGCTCCCGGATCTGCTCCCTCACTGCCCCTCTAGCCAGCGGCACCAACCCTTACTTACAGTGATGGAGGGTTAGGGCAGCCCTCACGTCACTTCTGCAGGACCTGGTGACAATTCGCCACCTCCCAAAGGCATCGCAGTGTCACTCTCTGGAGTGAGAAAAAGGTGCTCAAGAAGGGGCCGGCGAGTGTCCCGTGCGCGTGGAGAAACACCCGTGCCCCGTCCATCTGCACCGCTCCCTACCTGCCCCGTGGGGCAGGAGCAGCGTGGGCCCGTGTGCCAGACGAGCACGTACGGCATGGCCAGCCCAGGGAGCTTTCCGCATTCGAGGGCTCCCTCCAACAAAGCCGTGTCTGTCCCGCTCCCGCTATTCCTGCCTGTGCGGTTGGGGACCGGGGGGGCGGAGGAGCACAAAGGAGCGCAGACAACAGGGCGAGGGGGAGCATTCCTCACACCCATGGCGGCGGGCGGGCGGGCTTTGTCTGCAGCCGCTGCCTCCCTCCGTGGCGGGGGCAGGCGCTGCCGTCCGCCCCGCGCCGCTCCTTTGTTCCCCCGCTGCCTGCCAGGGGTGAGACAGGCAGGTGAGCGCCGCGCCAGGCAGGGGGCTGGCGGCGTGCGGCGGCGGCCGCATATTAATGCATTTCTCCAGCCTGTCGCTGGATGCTCGGCTTGATTCATGAGGCTCCGCCGTCGGATGCGGCCGGCAGGGAGAGCGAGCAGGGAGACAGCTATTGTCTGCCGGGCGCGGCCCCGCCGCTGCTGCTCCGGCGGCTGCCACAGCCCCTTCGCCCCTTCGCCCCTTCGCCCCGCCGTCCTTCCCGCCCGGCGTGTCCGTCTGTCCAGGCCGGAGCGCGGTGGGATTGTCCGGTACCCGCACCCCACGCGTGTCCCTGAGGGTGGAGCTGAGCTGCGGAGAAGGCAGGTGGGCAGCAGGCAGCTCCCCAGACACCTCGGGGTGCAAGGTGGGCTGTGTCCAGGCAGGGCTGCGTCCAGGGAGGGCTTGAGCGACTAAAACCACTTCCATCTAGTGCCTTAGTGACACCGGGAAAATGCGCTTGCTTTTTTTTTTTTTTTTTTTTTTTTTTTTTTTTTTTTTTTTATGGCTGCTGTAGATGTCAAATTGCATTTAATGACTGGCTATAATTTTTAAACAAAGCAAATAGGCAGCTGGTGGACAGGTATTAACCAGGCAGCAGTCAGGCTGTCTTGAAAAGGCTGATTCAGGTACAGCATTTGATAATGCTCATGTGGGAAGGGTGTGGATGATAATCCCAGAGAGGAAGACAAACTGGACAGAGTGCACTCCATCATGCTGACAAAGACTTGAATTGTACATGCTGGGGTGCAAATAGGATTGTTTGCATATTCAGCTGACTCGCTTTTCTCTTTTCACCATCCCTGAACATAGGTGGTGCCTGACCTCCTCGGGGAGCTGTTTGAGTTGGGGGGACAAATGGGTATGGGGGAGGTGGGTAAAGGAGCATGTGGAAGAAGAATGAGAGGATGTTGATTTCAGGGGCTGCAATAGAAAGGGCCTAGCTGGTGGGGAAAATGCTCCAAGGATAGGGTATATGAATATAGCAAGCTACAGATATGCTTGTCTGACAGGCTTCCTTTTATATCCCTGACATGCAGTTTATCCCACTCTGAACTAGGCATTGGCTCTCCAGAGCAAAATAAAGGTCCAAGGTCTGATTTCTTTTTTCCCCCCTTTCTTTTTCTCAGCTGTCAAGGAATAAAGCTGAACTGAGGGGGAAAGGAGCATTTATTCCCAGTGGGCAAAGAGAGAAAGGCTGAAATGAAGGATTTTCTCCAATGATAGCACTCCCTGAGCAGCAAACCCCACCTCTGAGTTTCCAGTAAATCTACTGGGAGTACAAAGCAAACCAATCCAGAAACGTCAAGGCATATTAACTGTCCTATTAACCTGGTGCCCCAATCCCTCTCTGGCACATGCTGGCGGCACACAAAGGTGTGTCCCAGTGCTGGGTGCTGGGGAAGGGAGCATGGCTGTGAGCCCAGCTGGGGCAAGGTGACCAAATGGCTCCCAACTCCTGCTCTCCAGCCATCATAGCCTGGAAAAGGGGTGCTGGAGGTGAACTTGTTCTGGGAACAGTGGTGCTTGGGGGCTGTGCCAGTCCTTTGTGCTGTCTGCTCTCAACGAGGCAGAAATTTAATTGTAACAAGGAACTCGCACACACTTACCTGCAGCGGAAGTCAAAGCAGCTTCTGTTAGAGATCACATAGATTTGACTGCTGTCAAATACTGGTTGCAAGTAAGATGGGTTTCCTGAATGCCATATTTTACTTGGTGACACATCTAGAACTTTTGGAAAGAGCTTTTGAAAATAAGCTTGTCTTTAAGGATTTCACAGGTGCCTTTTTTTACTTTTTTTTTTTTTCCTGTAAAGAGAAATGGGCAATCACAGAATTTTGATGAAAATTGCTTCTTATTCTCTTGCTTCATAGCCCATGGCCATCCTGAAGAATGAAGGAAATGCTGATAAATTTGCTATACTCCCCATCTAATGTTCCTCTATTCTGTCCTCAGAGCATGTCCTGCCCCTAGTTGCTCTTAACTTGTCTCTGCTTATAACACTTGGTACATAAAACACAACTGGGCTCTTTTTGCTCTGATTAAAATCATGCTGTGCAATAGGAAATACAAATTAGCTCTGGCCTTTGGGCTCCTGACAAGTCTCCAGCACAGCTTTCAGCACCACAGAGATTGTGTAACTCCATCTGTGTGTGCTCTGTGTGGTGACGTCTCCCCCTCCGTCATGAGCTGGGCTGGCTGCCACTCATCCAGGTTCAGCTGCTTCAAGCAGCTTTCAGAACTGGAGGAGGAAGAGATGTTGCCAGCAGCTGGGTGAAATGCAGAAACCAGCTTTTCCTTGCCACAGGACTATGTGGGAAGGGTTAAAAGGAGGAGGACTTCCTAGGTAATACTCCCAATCTCGATGTTTGTGCAAATACCTCCCTTTTGAATGAATGACTGGGGAGCTCAGCACAGGAGAGCCAATGCTTCAGTACAAGATTAATCCCTAAAGGAAGAGCACAGTAGACTCTTATTCAAACTAGAGCTTAAGTTTGTGTAGCTGTGAAGTCCTGCCTCCTCCAGGGATTCAAGCCAGGCATGCTGTGTTACTTCATTTCAGCATTGCTCACAGGAGGGCTGAGGCTCTAGCTATCGTGTCACATTTTCAGCAGAAACCCTTTAAATCTTGGCGACTTCCTCTGAGGATGCTGAAGCAAACAGTGCCCAGACCTGTGAGTGAACAAGTTGCAAATGACATAGTGGGTTTGAAGCGGTACGTGGGCAGACGTGGGCGAATGTTCCCTGAACTGGGTGTTTTCTAAAGGTCTCTGAAGCATGAGGTATGACTGAATGACTTCTGTTTTCTTTAAATTATGAGTGGGAGAATTCTGAATCGTTGGTCTGCTTTTATTTTTGTTAAATGTGTGTGGGCTGACAACATGACTCAGTATTTTCTCTGCCGATGCAAAGATCATACTGCCAATTCTGGGTATATTTCAGACAGTTTCCTACAGAGAACTGGAACAGTTTTTCAGTCCAGAGCTTTGTTTTTTAGCAGACTTAAGCCTATTGATGTGAAAATAAGTGATTTTAAAAAGAAGTGTTTTGCCAAAATGTACATAAATACACTGAAGTAATGACCAAACATGGGAAAAGTCTCTCTACCCCCATGTTTTTCCAGCAGTTTATCTGATTTTCTTTCATGGCTATCAATGTCTGATTTTTCTTTCCGATTCTCCCTAGCCTGAGTTGCTGCTGGGCCATCTCATTGTCTGCTGGATATCATCTCTGGTGTTTATTTGGCCGTCCATGTCCTGCTGGGTGACAGCCACCATCATGTGACTGATGGTTGTGAGTTCTCCCCTCCTGCCAAGAGACAAGTAGGCATATTTGTGGGTACCTGTATCTGGTTCAGCCAGAAGTACCAGAAAACTCCCCTTTCTCCCTTCTGGCAACCTCCCTGCCCTGCTCTCCTACTTTATCCTTCCTTTATGCCATGTACAGTGTATGGCATGTGCTCTGGGAGATACACAAAGTCAGGCATGGGCTTTGGATACTTCTATTGTGCAACAATTAGTGCCCTCTTCTCCCATACCCTCTTCTCTACTAGTGTGCTGGTGGTTATGTCTTTGATAAGAACAGGTTTCTCGCTAAGACCCTCACCTATAGTCATAAGTCAGCATTCTAGAGCTACCAATAAACCACTTTTCCATGCTGATAGCAGCCCTCAGCCCTGTGGACCTTGCTGAAGGTCTGTGAATGGCTAGAGAATAAAACACTAGTGGATGAAGGATGTTGCACAGCAAACGTAGTCTGCGAAGATGATGTGCCTGTAGATTCATTCTGTAGAGTGTGCAGAGTGAATGAATTCCATACACTCTGCTTATTTGATTGCTAGTTTTAACCACAGAATTCCCACACTCAGTACCTAGCACCATGACCCAAACTCCACTATGATCCTGACTCCACATTGGCCCATACAACAGTGAGCTGTACCTGACCCGTTTATTCACAAGCATGCATTAGAGTACCAGACAACTGTATCATCTTCCTATCATTCTAGTTCCTCAGTCCTAAGATTTTCCTCCTAGCCCTGGCATTTCCTCTACCTTCCACTGTCCACCCATGGCAATATTTCTCCCCAAACGTAAGCCTGAGCACATCCATCATCCTTACAGGATCATTGGAAGCCACTTGATGTGGTGACTCAAGTGCCTTTGCAGGTTTATTTTATAATGATAAGAAACAGGTAGAATTTCTGCACAATCCTCACATTATTCAGGAAGAATCCTACACTTAAAGTCCTTTTTACCCCACAGCCTGATTCCAGCTTTAAGGATAAACTATCAGCCAGCATTCCTTGAACCACAAGCAGAAGCATTGTGCCTTACTGAGCACCAGCACTCAGGCTTGCCCTGAAGATCAAGCAGAGGTGGTGCTCTTCAGTCCTTGGTGCCCCAGTCTCTAACCCTGACTTTAGTGTCTGAAGATCCAATGCTTGTTACTTACCTGTACCTCTGAGTGCCAGAGCCACTCACCCCTGCCAGCCTCAGCCCATATGACTGTGTTTCTAACATTTTTCCTGTAATCCAGGCATGGAGATGGAGGCAGCCGCTGGGACTTGCTTGGTGTACGAGCTGTAAGTTGTGTTTTTCAGAGCTGGGGCTTGATGGGGCAGAGCAAGTTTTGGTGGATTTTAGGGTGGAAGGATTATATTTGGGCATGGCTTGAAGGACTAAGTAGCTTGCTCAGCTGCTGAGGGGATGGTAGGCTGGGTACAAGATGGGGCATGGGGCAGTGTGACAGTATCCGTACATCAGTGAGCGAGCAGGCAGTCATGCTCTGTGGCACTGATCACTCTCCTTTCCTAAAACAAGCTTCATTCTTCCCATCTTCTTAATTCTCATTGCGTTTCTACTTGGTCTTCATCACTGACTCCAGCCTTTTTCCTCCAGCCTTTGGATTTCCAGAGCTACCAGCTGCTCTAGAGCTGGTTCTTCAGCCTTCCCCAGCTCTCTGTCATTGCTGCCGTGACTGCTTTTGACAGTCAGAGCTCAGCATATGAAGGCCAAGCATAAGAACTCTATGTTGCCTACTAGAAGGTGATCTGCACACTATATTTCACATTGGTGTGTCTTGCTGGTTGAGAGACAAGAATGGAGAGTGCTATGGCCTCAAGTGTCTTCAGGTATTGTCATGTAGCTGTGAATACTGAGCTTGGTTCTGAAATTTTTTTGGGATTGGCCTTTAACCTAGCTTCATTTAATTATTTACATTGAAGGTAGGTATTGCTTTTTTTTTTTTTTTTTTTTTTTTCTGAACTGTGTTTAGTAAGATTAGTCATGGAATAGCTCTCCAACTTTCTGGAAAGAATACTTATTAAAAGGGGTTTTGTAATTGTTTTGCTGTGTTACATTCAAGTATAGCCTAGTGTTGTTTGAAAGAAAGCTTGGAAAGAGAAAAGCTGACAGCAGGTCAGACTGAGGGAGGTGGAGCTGGTTTATGCTACTTTTTTTGCAACAGATGAAGTTGGTATTCCCCACCTGATTAAGGTGCAGCAGACTGAATCACTAACACACCTTGTTCTGAAATAAATCAGTGGCAAAACGACATTGCTTGTGGCAGTAGGCAAAGTCCTTATTAAACAGCAAGCATTACTTTGCGTGCTTAAGATCACAACTACTCTCTTTAAACAAACAAACAAGCAAACTTTTTTTCCCACAATCAAAGCCAGTGAAGGGCAGGTCCCCACACTTCCTCATTCTTGGCACTCTCACTGATGGGTTGTCTTTTTCAGTGAAAACTTCCTCACCCAACCCGGCAGTGCTGGATTCACCCTGAGCCCGTACAGGTCTCCTCCCCATGTCAGGCAGCCTCACCCCGTGACTCCCAGGAATACCCACCTATTCCCATCTGCCTTACCAAGGGGGGTTCAGTGGGTTTGTCCTTTGCAGACACTTCCTGATACACAGCACGTCTGCATTTTTATGGCCAATTTGGATAAAGACATTGCTCCAGCTGGTAACTGCAGCTTCCAGATAAGACTGACCCCCTGACAATGTAAGAAACACCCAACTAAGGAGTAAGGAATTGTCCATTTTCAGACTCCAGAGTGGCTACACATGCCAACATTTTGTTGCACAGACACGGAATAACAACTCTAACTAGAAGAGTTCTCTTGGCAGTTATTACCTTATCTGTAATTGATTCTGTGAGAGTTTGCAGGCCCTACCATTAGAAAGTAACTTCCTGCGTGTGTCTTCGAATCAGATTAATAAAGGGAAACAATATTTTTAATGACAGAGCCTCTTGGTATGTATTATTTCCTGAAACTCTGAAATTGTTATTTGTCGCCTTACTGGTGTTTCTTGCTCCTAATAAATTTTACATCAGCTTTTTAGAAGACTGAGTGTCTATGGCCCCATTTTGAATTGCTGAAATACTGAGGTGTGTTGGAAAACTAGAGTATTGAAACATCCACAAACAACATCCTGCAGGTCAGAACCTTGTGTACTTTCTAAATAGGTCAGGGCTTGGTTCGAGAATCTGGTATTTTTTGAAGATACCCCTTTATTTCTCCGTCTCATTCTTCATTCAGTCACAGAACCTGTGTGCTGGATTTGTTTTACATTTTTTTGCTGTCCATTTTGCTGCCAAGTCATCATCTCGTGTTGCTTGTCTTATATAAATGTTTACATTAGCAAGCTTCACAATAACAGTCTGGAAAGGAAACATTTACTTCTGAGCTTCCCTCTGCCAAACAAACCTACAGTGTTTGCTTTTTTGTGGCTACTAGTGGTTAAGGCCATGGGTTGTAAAATTATAATGCTGCAGGCAGTGTCTATTACAGTTATGATCACTGTAACATGCACATTGACATATTTATTGTTTTGCTTTTAAATTGGCGCATTCAGTGTGGAGGACATGGCTCTCCATTCCCTCATACAATATAATCGCCATAGGTCCTTGAAAGGCTGCAGAGAAAAAAACAACTCTGTTTTAAAAACAAAGTCTACTTTCTTGGTTCTCGATGACACATAATGAAAGCATCAGCGTTACTTTTATGTCCGGAAAGAAAGGGTGACGACATGGAACGGAACATGACACACACGTAGGCAGAGCGCTTGACGAGAAATAAACCATTGCAAGGCGGAGCCGGGCAGCACGGAGGCACCGGCCCCTCAGAGGGGTGTCCGGAGGGCCGACCCCGGCAGGGCAGGGCAGTGCAGTGCAGGGCAGGGCAGGGCAGGGCAGGGCAGGGCAGGGCAGGGCAGGGCAGGGCAGGACAGCCCGGGCCGCTGCGGGCGCCGCCGCCGCGCTCGTTACATAACGGGGGGGACGGGGGGGCGGGGCCGGCGCGCGCCGCCCCCGCGCGCAGCTCCCCCGCGCCCGCCTCCTCCCCTGTCCTCGCGGCACCCCCGCCCCGCCCCGCCCCTCCCCGCGTGACACCGCGGGGGCGGGGCCCAGCGCGTGCCTCCCGGCGGCCCGCCTCCCGCCAGGGGCGGCACGTGCGCGCCCCGCCCCGCCCCGCGCGCTCAACGGGGGAAGATGGCCCTTTTCCCCCTCCCGGCCCGCCCGCGCACGCTCAGTCCGCGCCGCTCCGGGCCGTCCCGCGGGGCGCAGGCGCGGAGGGGACGGTCGTCGGGCGGGGCGGGCGGGGCGGTGCTTCCCCCCCCCGCCCCCCTCCCATCGCCATTCCCGTCCTCCTCCTCCTCCTCCTCCCGCCTCCACGGGGGCCGGGTGACGCACGTGCGCGCGCTCCCGCGCGCTGTTGTCCGCTCGCTCCCGTGCCGCCCGCCCCGTGCGCGTGCCAGCCGGCGGCGGGGGGCGCGCGCGGCGTGCGGGGCCGGCACGCGCGTTGTTGTTATTGGCGGCGCCGCCGCGGCCGCGGCGGAGGGAGCGGGGCGGGGGGGAACGGAACGGGACGGGGAGGAGCGGAGCCGGGCGGGCGGCTCAGTCAGGGAGTTCTTTAAAGATGGCCGGAGCGACGGCCGCCGCCGCGACCCCCGTGTACTGCGTGTGCCGCGAACCCTACGACGTGAGCCGCTTCATGATCGAGTGCGACATCTGCAAGGACTGGTTCCACGGCAGGTAAGGCGCCGGGAGCCGCGCCGGGGCCGGGCGGCACCGGGCACAGGCTGTGGCAGTCGCCTTCCCCCCTCCCGCCGGGGGGGACAATAGCTGCGCGGCGGCGGCACGGGGGGAGTGGCAGGCGCTCGCCCGGTCCGGCTCCCCCCCGCTCCCCCCTCGACGGGGACGGTGCCGGCGCCGGCGGCCGTCCCCGGGCACATGGGTCCGCGGCTGCGAGGGGGCGGACGGGCCGGGCCAGGCGGGGGGGGGGGGGGGCGCTGGTTACGAAAGAGCAACAGATGCGGGGCTAGCGGGGCCGGGGCCACCCCGAAGTTGTGCCGACTCCGCAGAGGCGTCGCATGTCCCCCCGCGCCTCCGGGGGGGGGTCTCTGCCGGGACAGGGCGGTCTCCCGGCGGAGAAGTGCGGACACCAGGGCTGTCCCCGGCCGGGTGCGAGCTCCGGGCTGCCCCTGAGTTTTGTTCGGGGGGCGACCGAGGAGGAGAAAGAGGGTCGCCCCGCGCCTCTCGCCGCTTTGACGTTTCTAGCCCGGTCCCGAGCGGCCGCCGCGCGTGTTTTGCGCGCCGAGCGTGCGAATAATAAAAGGCACGTCGGCAGCCGCTGCGAGCGGGAGGAAGCGGCGGCGGAGGGGATTCACGGGCAGTTAAACAAAGGAGCAAGTTGGGGGCCCGCGGCGGTGGCGGCGGCGGCTCGGCCGGGCCGGGGCTGCCGGGCCGCTCGGTGCCGCCCCCGCCGTGCGGGGAGCGCCGGGGAGCGCGCGGCGCCCGTGATTGACAGCCCGGCGTTTAAATACCCCGAGCGGCAACAACAACAGCGCCGGCGGCCCGCGCCGCGCCCCCTGCCGGCCAGGGCCCGCACCGCCGCCCCCGACCCTGCCCGCTGGGCCCGGCGCCCGCGGCGCAGCAGCGGGGGCCGTGTGCGGGGTCGTAGTTGCTTGGGTTTGTTTTCCCTTTATTTATTTCCCCGTTTCTTCCCCTCAAACGGCAAAAGACAAACGCCGACCAAAAGTAGGTTACGTGTTTAGGTGTTACTTAACTGTAATTGTTACACACGGGTGTTTTGTTGCCACGTTTTAGGACCAAAGGAAGGCTCAGCGTTTCAGATGTTTACTTGGTTGATTGATTCTTTGTACATGGGCTTCTCCCGGCTCGAACTGCAGTATAATAGAGAGTGTGAAAGGGGCTTTGTAAACCACAAAAACTGGCAAACAATGCTTGTTGTACCTTAAAAGCAACCTCTCACTAATATTTTTAACTAGACTGCTACTACTCCTGCCAGTACTGTTGTTTAGAGTGAGATGCACAACAGCTCTTCTGGGTTACAGCAGCTTAATAGAAGTTTGTCAGAACTCTGTTGCTGCCTGCAGTAAAAGGTGCAAGCATTGGCTGAAGTGTTTGTGCGGTTACAGGTCCTTTCTCTTCCAAGTCTTCTTCTGCATTTGTCTGGTTGCTCTTTCAGAATGTCCTGGCAAATGCTCAGGTTCCATGCAGGCTTAACTTAAATGCCATCCTTATGCGTCAGTATTGCTGGGGTATGGGTGAACTAAATTTCTGAAATTGTTATGAGGAGGAAAGCATTGCCTGATCCAAAGGTGGGACAGACCACTTGGTAGCTTTCTTGGATCTTGAGGTGCAAAAAGCTCCACACAAGTTCCTGTGATTGAGCTCTCTCGTGTAGTGGGCAGAAAAAGCCTGCTAGCACTGAACTGCCTTGATAGTCTGAAACCCTAAGACTGGAAAGTAAGCAAGCAGGCCAGCAAGAGCTGGCAACAGCCATGCTGCTTTGGGATTTAGTTGCATGCTCACCCGGCCTTATGACTAAGGGGCAGGTTTTTGGGAGATGCGTTGCCCCCTGCCAGCTGTGGTCTGCTCTGGGAGTGCCTTTCCCCTTGCTTTAAGAGTGTCTGAAGACTGTTACATAGCTTGTGAAAGAAAACACACACTCTCAAATCTTTAAATTTCTGGTGAACTTCTTAGTTTAATGTTATCTTGATTTTTTAAAATTTTTTTTTCCCTGGCCTGTGGAATGAGACTGATGTGTGTTCTGTCTTAAGAAACATATAAACCCAGGCTATGGTGTGCTAGCATGATACCTAGCGCATATTATTGGATTAGGGACTCTTTGCTGCCTTCCTGTATATAGTCAAGAGAGTACCTGAACAGTACAGTGGAGGCTGTACAAAGTCTGCTCTGGCACATTGTAACTTAGTCCCTTTAAATTTTTATGTGATTTTTTTTTTTTCCTGTGTGTTCTTCTTGCACTCTGTCTTCAAATGATTTGTACTTTGGTTTGCTGTTATCAATGTATTGCTGTTATGAAATATGCATTTTATTGCTTTTGGCAAATATTTGTGTTAAAGCAAATGTTTTGTTATGCCTGGCAAGGCTGTGAACCTGCTTTGTGGGTTTCAGTTACTCTCTGAGTGGGCCTAACATCGAGCCACAGTCTGGAGTAATTACCCCTTGTGAACAAAAGAGCGTAACGTCGGTGCCTGAGCGCTGTTTGAGGATTCGTAGCCTTCCTGAATGGCTTGCAAGTGTGCAGAGACTACAGAGCTTTAGATGTGACAGACTGTCAAAGCTTTCAGACAGGCAAATCCATTTATATTTTAGACAATTTTTGTGTTTTCCCCATCATTTTATCTGCTTTAAATGAAAATGTCACATTAAGCTGATTCCTGCTTTCTGACTTGCCTAGAATATACTCCAGCCAGAAAGAAGCATACGAAGTCCTTTATGCTGCTCTGTGTGTTCAACTTTCTCTTGGATCTGTTCCGTTGCTCTTGAAACCTCTTTAATTTCTTGGTTTTATCTTCAAATTATATGTATCATTCTGGGATACTTCTTGCGCTGTCTCTGCCTTCCTTCGTTTTTTGATGCTTTGCCTCAGTTATTAGGTTAACAACATGCTGTCATCTTGTGTTTTTTTGCTGTGATATGTGTGCCTAAGTTACATATCTTTTTTAAACTGATCTTGCAGTCAGCTCTGTTCTTGAAATATGTTTGTGAAGTTTGCAGAAATCCTATTGAACTTTTTGTCCTTTTTTCTGTCCATGATACACGTACTCAACTAGATTTATATGCATTGCATAGATGTGACTTATTCCTGTAGACTAAATCTCAGGTCAGAAAAAACTGAAGTTTAAGCATATAATTCAGTTTTTGTCTGCACAGTGTAATATTGTCTGTGATATTTTAGAAGTAAAGTACTGTAGAATTGGCCTTTTGAGGAGGTTAGCTTTGTAAAGCTGCACTGGGACTGTACTAGTTTGAAGGAGTGTGGAGAAGTGAGTCAGGTAAAATGAGAATTAAAAATGCAGGTGCCCTATGAAGTCTTGTGTGTTGCACTTTTCTGGGGATGTTTTGTTTCTCAGCAAATATACAGTGAATTTCTAACATATCTCAGTGATGAATAGGTTAAGAAATGGTCAAATGTGTGCATGTCAGTTACAGATCTCTTCCTTTTGAAATGCCTGCAACCTTTCTAATGTATTTTTAAATAACAAAAAGGTGTTTGTTTCTTTTTAATTAAACAAAGGAAATGTTTTACTCTTCAAAGTTAGAGCAATGGGGTGTAAGAAAGGGAAAGCATCCTTTTTTTATTGCTGTTTAAAATTAGCAGTTTACCTGAAAATTTCATAATGGTGTCAACTTTGGTGTCTTTCCCTCAAGGAGAAAATTTTTTATGTTTACAGAAATAAATATTTAATTTGAGCAGCTTAGAGGGCAATCAGGGAAGTACAGCACTAATCTGTATGTAGTATACATATGTGCATGCTTCTATTGCACAGCAAAGTCAAATTGATTACATTTATATGGAATTGTTTTTAAATTGATAGCTTTTGCTCTCAGGATTAATTTTGTATAGTCTTGAAAGAATTAACTTCGCCCTTTACCTCCAGCAGTTCATTGGTGGTATTTTGCCATTAGGTATTTGATGTTTTTTACATCTTTGTCATTATTAGAAAACGTTTACTAACATAATTTGAAAAGAAAGGTGATTCGTGTACCGTTTGAAGATTATAATTTAAACTGCATATGCCTTGAGGCCTTTTTTCCTCACATGGAGGAAAAATTTGGTGCTAAAGTCACATCTGAGCGAAGTTCACGTAGAACATATTTTTTCTGATATCGA